GCTTCACGGCGGCGGAGGTGAGGTGTGATGATAACCGTCTGTCTCTCCCTCAGGTGGAAGAGATTAAGCGGCTGGCCGGCACCAGGAAGGACTTCGGCCAAAGCGGCCCTCTGATTGGAGGAGTGAAGTGCAGGATGATCCGTGATAATATGGACAACGACGGGATGTTCAGCCTGGACTTAAAGACTGCAGCAGATGCTTCAGGAACCGCTTACAACGTCTGCGTCGGCAAGAGCAAGACAGGTAAGAACCCACGCCTGAGAGGCAGGACTCAGGGCAAATGTACGTGTATGTAAAAGTTCTATATGAAGCCTGTTAGAAATGGCAGCAGCTTCCTGTATTGACGTGTATATCTGTCCTATCCCAGTATAGACGTGTGTGTGTTTATATAGTAGACAGATGTTACGTGGATATACATCCATCCACAGCCTCAGTATGAGATGATGTTATAAACAGTAGAGTCCAACAGTTGTTTTAATAAACTTGCATAAATGAATTAAACATATAATGTAAACACTTCATGTTTACATACAAAACATTTTCTATATTAAAATTCTTCACAAATTTGTAAATGTATGTGTATTTCATATATGTTATAAACCTATATGTTCATATATCCAGAGGAAGTATATACATGTCATACATCATGTTTCTGTGTGCGTTGACATTTGACTCAAGGCAAAAATGATCATATCATATTATATTCATCATGAACAATAAACAGGATTCTTATAGAAGCTCCTTCCTCCCTCAGCTCAGCGTCTCTTCACACAAATATTAGACAATGACGAGGACACAGCTCAATGCTGGTTTTCAGTAATCAATAATCAATTCAGTGTCCTTTGTACCATTTTTTCAGGACTGTGGTTTATAAGATAACCTCGTAACACCAGCATTGAGCAGCCCACAAACATGCTAGCAGATTAGCTTCTTAGCAACAGTGCTAGCTCAGATGTTCTGGGACATTTAAAGTCTCAGGTACAAACAGGATTACATGTGAAAATGTGATTTTCAGTCTGCACGGCTTTAGATGCTAACAGCTGTTGCTCCCCTCAGGAGGAACTGTAATAACTGTGGTGTTAGCGCCACCATCAGGTCAAGGTTTTAGTTTGTGCAGCACTTTTGCTAATGATCAGATAAAAAGCAAAGCTAATGTAATTCCCATCAGCCTCAGCTGGGTGCTGCTAATTAGCTAGTGTTAGCATGCTAACTTGCTAACATGATGAACATCAAACGTGCTAAACATCAGCATATTAGCACATTGTTAGCTCAAATATGTCTGCAGACTAAATTATAATGAACAAAAATAACAATACATTATTACTGATAATATAATGTTGGTAATATTTAATAAATGTGTTAGAGTTGGTTTTATCCCTGAAATATTTTCCTCCATGTTTAAACAACGTATGAAGTCATGATGCTGCAGTGACACTCAAGTACTGTGGTTATTAAACTTACTAGACATGAACATGTTAGCATGTTAGCATTTAGCTCAAAGCACCAGCTGTGTGTTGTTTGTTTGTTGTTTGTTTGTTGTTTGTTTGTTGACTCTGTGTCTCTGTCTCTGCAGCTCTAGTCATCGCTAAAGGCACAAAAGAAGCTAATGGCGGGCAGCTCGCTTCAAAGGTGTTCAGCATTGTTAACTACCTGCGGGGGCTCAACATGTAATACAAGATGGCCAACGACCCCTCCTGTGCCCCCCTGCCCCCGCAGATCAACTCAAGAAAATGGCCGCTGTTTTGAGCTTCTTTAGTTTTTTATTACCTTTGACCTTTGACCTTCCAGGCGTCGATCAGGGAAAAATTAAGTGTTTAAAGTTTTATTCATGTAGTGAACTTAGTGATGACCATGAACACACACACACACACACACTGTGGCAGTGGACTATGTGTGTTGAGGTGTGTTCACACCTGAGCTGACTGCACACCTGTGGTGGTGGTGTTGTTCACGGCAGGAACCAGTGTTATATGTTTTACAGTGGAGATGGACCTGCGTCCAATCACAGCTCTGTAAAGAAAAGTCACACACCTGAAAAATAAAAAGACCCATGTTTATTACAACAGTCTGAGGAGTCTTCGTGTGTGTGTGTGTGTGTGTGTGTGTGTGTGTTGAACTGTTTCTTCAAATCATCTTTCATTAAAATACAATTAATAATCAGAAACACATTTATAATAATATAATAATTATTATTATGATTAGTACTGCAGTATTAGCACAACTGGTTACTACGACTGGTATTAATGTGACTACGAATACTGCTACTACTAATCTTACTACTTACTACTATTTCTATTGATACTGCAATTGCAATTATAACTGCTGATACAGCTACTACTGCTGCCATTACCACCATTACATCAGAATAACGTTATTACGACACCACTGCGAGCAGAGGCAGATGTTTTTGAATATCTCATCAATGAGCTGAACACAAACACCAGAACTAACTGTTCCAGCTGCTTCCAGCGGGCGGCAGCACAGAGGCTTCAGTTTGGACCGACCCGCTCCCGCAGACCGGTCAGACCTCACGCGACTCGGACACAAGTGGAAGCTTGAAGTGAACTCTGCACGTGACTATACGTCAGCGAGAGCTGAGCGCTGCAGCGACGTGCTCTCTGCTCAGGTGTGTGTGTGATCAGGTGAAGCAGGGAGGAGAGAGGGGCGATGGACTGTGGAGGGTGAAGGGATGAGTGAGCTTCTCTCGCTCTCTGAGCCTGGACTCCAGGTAGACTCGTCACTACCTTCATGTTCCTGAACACCACGGCAGGACGTTTGGTTACTTTGACACATTCAATGGGACTGAATGTAAATCTGCATCTGCACTATGATTACTGCTAGTGTTACTACGACTACTACTACTACTACATGCCAATATTCAGCTGTACTCATAGCGCCTCCTAGTGGCAATAGGAAATATTATGTTTTACAACTTCACATGCTCCTCATGCATGTTGACCACACCCACTTCAAACATGGTCAGAAAATACTTAAGTAGTACTTGTACTTAGTAGTACTATTATGGCGGCAAGACTCCAGTAGTAGTACTGCATGTTGTACAAGCAGTGGTGTGCTATTAGAAGTATTAGTACTGCAGTGACTACTGTCAGTCTCCGTTTCCTGTCACTGCTGCTGCGCTGCAGAGACCATGTGACGTGTGGATGCAGAAATCACTGAAGTGAACAAATACAACAAAGTACACTGTGTGTCACATTCAAATGAGCTTTATTGACACAGCAGCCTGTTGACAGTGGAGCAGAGAAGAGGATATATACAGTGTAGTACAGTAACAGAAAAACATTATTCAATATAAAACAGTACTGTATATATAAAATGAGATGACCCCCCCACATACACACACACACACAGCCCCACACCCTAAAGTCATGTGCAGTTATATTTAGCCTGCAGTAAAGGCTACAGGGACACTGAACAGGCCACAGTGTGTGTACTCAGTGTGTGTGTGAAGTATAGTTAAAGGTGAGTGTAAAGGGTAAGGTGTCTTGTGTAAGTGCGTGTGTGTGTGTGTGTGTTGGGGTTACTGCCCTTTGCAGTGAATGCTGAGCCGGTCTCACATTTCCCCTTTAGATGAACTTTGACCTTCTCTCTGTGAGTTAGGGACCGTCACACTAGTTCACACCAGTTTGATTCAGCCCACTGACATTCATACAACATGACAGAAAACATGTATATAATATTATGACACTATTTCTGTGGTGTTCAGTGTTCTTTTATTTATTTCTCATTCATATAAATGAAGTTTCCTACATGAATTTTCCATGATCTTCCTGCAGAGGAAGGAGGATTCCTGAGTGACTGCAGTAACCTACAGTGAGATTACTCCACTCTCATCTGTATTTTATTTAAAGAAGCAGATCTGTGATGTAAGTCATAAATCAAAGTTTAATTTCTCAGACACATTCAGAAGTTTGAGGAAGAAAATTCTGAAAAATTAAGTAATATTTTAGTAAATAGCATAAATCACAATGGAGAAGAAATCTGTCTGTGCTACGTCTGAAATGTTGGTGTCTACCACTAAACTACTGCTACTGAACCACACGACTATCACAACAATTACTGCTACTTCTACTACTGCTAATATACTGGTACCGTTAACATGCTACAACTCCTGCTACAACAGTAAATACTGACGCTATAACTCCTGCTATTATGCTAATATCACTACAACCGATACTTCTAGAACTATTGTTAATACGGCTAATATAAGATCTAATATTACCAATACGCTAACAGTGCTAACAGTGCAGGAACTATCACTGCATTTGGTGCTAATTCTGCTAGTAAAACTGCTAATACACTGATACTGCTATAGCATACTGATAATACTGCTACCATTACTCACTGCTAATACACTGATGTTGCTAATACTGATACAGCTACTGCTAATATACTGGTACTGTTAACATGCTACTGCTACAAGAGTAAATTCTGATGCTACTATGCTAATATTGCTACAACCAATACTTCTAGAACTTTTTGTTAATACGGTTCATATAACATCTAATATTACCAATACACTAACCCTGCTAACCCTGCTAACACTGCTAACACTGCTAACACTGCTAACCCTGCAACTAAAACTCCTGAAACTCTTGCTAACACTGCTTCTGTTTTTGCCAATGCTACTTCTCTTACTGCTAACACTGCTGTCACAATGTATGAAATATTCTCAACACAATAAAGATAGAATAAAATAAATATCTATAGTGTAAATATGTAAATAACTTCTTCCACTAAAACAACTACAAAGAGACAAAAAAACAACCACAAAAACATGCACACACTAAAAAAGTTGCTATTATTTCCGTGTTGTATCCCAATATGAAGTATATGAGGATTTTTGTGTTGTTATTTTAGTATCAGAGCCTTGTCTGTGTCAGCGCTTTGTGCTGCAGGTTTTTCTGTTTGCTGCAGTCCTGTCCCATGCAGACGCTCCCTGCCTCTCCGCCCAGCCTCCTCCCTCTGCCAGGGAGCGTCTATAAAAACCCTGCAGCGTGACAGACGGACACTTTCCACGTCAGTCGGACAGTCAGACGGACAGACGGCCAAAGACGACACCCCCTTTTCTTCTCTAACAACACAACTCAGGTAGGCTGAAACAGGTGTGAGCTCTCGGCTCTGGTTGGTCATTTTTTGAATCAACTGCTGAGTTAGTTTTTTTTTTTCATCTCAATCTGTTTCCTGTTTGTTTCCAGGTTCTTGTTCTGGTCTAGAAACCTGATTCATTTCCCTCTTTTACTTTAGTCTAGTTCAGTTTGCAGCAGTTTTCAGAGGAAGTCTAGCGTGCTGGGTGATGTGTCAAATCTCATGTTGGCAGATGTTCATTTTCCACAGATGTTGAGTTTTTGATTCTTCATCTGAAGCAAAAGACAAAAACAAACCTTCAGGTCTTCGACTTTCAGCAGCTTGAAGGTCAAAGTGCTGAAGAGCCGAGCTGCTGAAATCTGACAAACACAGAGGGAGCAAAGTCCAGACAGACAGGCAGACAGACAGACAGACAGAGAGACAGAGAGACAGAGAGAGAGAGAGAGAGAGAGAGAGACAGACAGAGAGACAGACAGAGAGAGAGAGACAGACAGGCAGACAGAGAGAGAGATAGAGAGAGAGACAGACAGACAGACAGAGAGAGAGAGACAGACAGACAGACAGGCAGAGAGACAGACAGTGAATGGCTTCATCTGTGAAATGTATAGAGTGTATCTATGGTGATTTAATCTTATATATCTGATGTAACAATCCGTCAATATCTGTCCACATCTGTTTATTTGTGGACCAGGCCAGTTTATTTTAGGACATTCAAGGCAATTCAAAGTGCTTCACAAAAGACAGAGAAGTCATTAAGAAAAGACACACAAGGCAATATAAAACACACACACACACACACACACACACACACACACACGCGCGTTAAAATAGTAAATTAAAACAGAAGAATCAGACGTGATGATTATGTCATGGATAAAGCGTCCTCAGATTAACTTAATGAGATGCAAACAGAGAAGTCTTGATCCCACCCAGAATGATGTCCTGTCCCAGACCACCTGAGAGGACACACCTGTACTGGGCATTTCACCAGGTCATGATACATTACACAGGGAAACTGTTTTCTGTTTCTATAACCAGCCTGTGACTTGCTGAGTGATTCACTGAATCAGGTCCCAGTGAAACACTGAGGAACAGGTGGAACATGGACGACCTGCAGACGCTAATCTGACAACAACACAAACTGCAGCCTCACATTACATTACATTATAGCGCAGTAATTAGCAGTGGTTTGTTTTAGTGTTAGCTGTGGCGTAAGCTATGGTAGTTATTGTGTCAAGTGTAGTGTTAGCAATAGTGTTAGCATCAGTGTTAGCAGTAGTGTTCGCTTCAGTGTTGTCTGTAGTGTTAGCAGTAGTTTTACCTGTAGTATTAGAAGTAGTGTTAGCTGTGGTGTTAGCAGTAGTGTTAGCTGTGGTGTTAGCAGTAATGTTAGCAGTAGTTTTAGCTGTAGTGTTAGCTGTGGTGTTAGCAGTAGTTTTAGCAGTAGTGTTAGCTGTAGTGTTAGCAGTAATGTTAGCAGTAATGTTATCAGTAGTTTTACCTGTGGTGTTAGCACTAGTTTTAGCTGTAGTGTTAGCTGTGGTGTTAGCAGTAGTGTTAGCAGTAGTTTTACCTGTGGTGTTAGCACTAGTTTTAGCTGTAGTGTTAGCTGTGGTGTTAGCAGTAGTTTTAGCTGTGGTGTTAGCAGTAGTGTTAGCAGTAATTTTAGCAGTAGTGTTAGCTGTGGTATTAGCTGTGGTGTTAGCAGTAGTTTTAGCTGTGGTGTTAGCAGTAGTTTTAGCTGTAGTGTTAGCTGTGGTGTTAGCAGTAGTGTTAGCTGTGGTGTTAGCTGTAGTGTTAGCAGCACTGTTAGCAGCACTATTAGCAGTAGTTTGTATGTTGTGTTGTAGATCGTACGTCCAGTTGTTGCGTCATGTTTGTACAGTAAAGTCTTTGTAAAGGCCACATGTCGTTTCAGGTGGACTGTAACCACTCAGCTGTTGTTCTGCTGGCATGCTTGACCTTTTACACACACACACACAAACACACACACACACACACACACACACACACACACACACACACACACACACACACATAATTACATAACACACTCAGACACAGCAGCAGTTAGCTGCTGCTAACACACTGATACTTCTAATACACTCATATTGTTAGCACTGCTGCTACTTCTGCTCATACTTCTTACTCTTACTCTTTATTGTACTGATGACACAGTAACAACGCTAAAGCTGCTACAGCTACTGCTAAACATATGCTCTATATCTTAAACACACTAACACGTATACTACTACAAATACTGAAGACACTGATACTAATACTTCCTGTGTGTGTGATGGATATTAAAGCATGTGGCTCAGTCTTTGCTGTGGTGTGGGAGTTGATCCATGATGAGGAAACCTCTCCACTGTGAAGCTGAAGCACAGAGCAGGACAGGACTGCATCCATCTGCATCTGCAGCTGCTTCACATGTTTAAGCTCAAACAAATGAAACGCTTGTTAATGTAATGATTTGTTATGTTGTGTTTAAGTGCAGCTGAAAAGATCAGTTGATAAATCAGCAACCATCTTCATAATGTGTCATTTTACAAACAGAAAAATCTCCAGCTTCTCAAATGTGAAAGTTTACTGTGTCTGCTCAGTATTTCCTTGTCCGTGGATTTATTTATCTATTTATTTATCGATCTATTTATTTCTGTATTTGTTCATTTCTCTATTTATTTATGTATTTATTTGTTGAACTGTGGCAGCGTTTCTTACTGAGCAGATATTTGTAAAGCAGATTGATCGATGGTAAAAATAATTGATCATTGATCATGGTTAGCTGCAGCCACTCACAGAGTAGCAAACTGTAGCTCCCAGCATGCATCTGTGACACTGACAGTGTGTTACAGTCGCTCACACTGAGGTCATGTGGTTCAGCTCCAGCAGACCTTCAGTATCAGAGCGTGTGAAGAGGCTGATATCAGCTCACAGTCACAAATACCTCTGCAAATGTCAAGAACATGAACATAAGTGTGTGTGTGTGTGTGTGTGTGTGTGTGTGTGTGTGTGTGTGTGTGTGTGTGTGTGTGTACTGTAACTCTATAATGGACAGGAGGAAGTCATGACCTGTGTAGAAAGGTCAGGGGAAAGGTCAGAGGGTTTTACTCACCAGCCTTACTGTATTAAGAACTCTCTCTGGAGGACCCCCCCCTCTCTGGCTCCAGAATGGTATCTCCCTCTTTCCTCTTGGTCCCGTTAGCCGCCTGTCATGAGAGCAGCTTTGTGATTGGCTGTGTGGGAGGGGGTGGGCGTGGTCTGACATGGGACAGAGCTTGTTGCCCACTGTCATGGAGGCATCATGGCGTTAACCAGGATCTCTGCAGCAGGTCTGACACACACACACACACAGCGAGCATTAGCGACAGCACAGTGGCAACGCAGCGACACACGAGCGAGCGAGGGCACAGCAACACAGCGACACCACACAGGCCACGACACACACACACAGCGACACAACTTATCACAGTGGGGGCTACACGACAGCAGTGGGGGGGGGTGGGTCACACACACACACACACACAGAGTGAGTTTGACCTCTGGTTCAGGAGTGTTGGTTTTTATTTTGAAGGTCACAGGAAGAAAAAGATCTTTTCTTCTTCTTCTTCTGGTTTTTGTCTCTAACTGTGGGACAGAGACATCTGGACCGGGTCCTGGTCTGTCCTCGTGATCCTGTTCCAGTGACTCCAGGACCAGGTTCTGTCACAGAACAGGGTCCTGAACGTGCTTGGACTGGGTCCTGAGACTCGTAGGACAGGGTTTTGGTCCGGGTCCCTGTCATTATCCCAGGGACGGTTTCTGTCCCGCTCGGATCCGAGGACAGGACCCGTGTAGGACAGGGTCCGGTCTGGTCCTCACAGACCTCTGATCCTCTGTGTCCCTCCCTCAGTCAGGATGTCCATCACTAAGATTCACGCCCGGGAGATTCTGGACTCCAGAGGAAACCCCACAGTGGAGGTGGACCTGTGGACTGCCAAGGGTGAGACCAGATCCTCCATCGTCCAATCAGAATCTGAGTCTGTTCTTCTACTGTCTCTGTATAACATACCAAACCTGTCTGTCTGTCTGCCTGTCTGTCTCTCAGGTCACTTCAGGGCAGCTGTCCCCAGCGGTGCGTCCACTGGAGTCCATGAGGCCCTTGAGCTCCGTGACGGAGACAAGTCCCGTTACCTGGGCAAAGGTAGGATGCAGATTTGACTTTTCCAGGCTGGTCCTGGAAGGTCCTGGAATGTCCTGGAAGGTCCTGGATGTGTGCGTGTGGATTGACTGTCTGTCTGTCTGTCTGCAGGAACTCTGAAGGCTGTGGGTCATATAAACAAGGACATCGCCCCCAAGCTGCTGGAGAAGGTAACTACAGGACGTCAGAGTGATCCAATCACGGGGGGGCGGGCTACAGGGCTGAACACTAACCTGTCTCTCTGTCTACCTGTCTCTCTCTCTACCTGTCTCTGTCTCTTCCTCTGTCTTTCCAGAAATTCAGTGTTGTTGAGCAGGAGAAGATCGACAAGTTCATGTTGGAGTTGGACGGAACTGAGAACAAATGTAAGGACCTGTCTGTCTCTCTGACCCGTCTGTCTCTGACCTGTTTCTCTCTGACCTGTCTCTCTCTGACCTGTCTCTCATTCTGGCCTGTCTGTCTCTCTGACCTGTCTCTCTCTGACCCGTCTCTCTCTGACCCGCCTCTCTCTCTCTGACCCGTCTCTCTCTCTCTGACCTGTCTTTCTCTCTCTGATCTGTCTCTCTCTCTCTGACCCGTCTCTCTCTAACCTGTCTTTCTCTCTCTGATCTGTCTCTCTCTATCTGACCTGTCTCTCTCTCTCTGACCCGTTTCTCTCTCTCTGACCCGTCTCTCTCTCTGACCCGTCTCTCTCTCAGCTAAGTTCGGTGCTAACGCCATCCTGGGCGTGTCGCTGGCCGTCTGTAAGGCCGGAGCAGCGGAGAAGGGAGTTCCTCTCTACCGCCACATCGCCGACCTCGCCGGACACAAGGACGTCATTCTTCCTGTTCCTGTGAGTGGGAGGGGCCTCTGGGGGTGGGAGGGGCTAACAACCAGCTCCTCCTTGTCCACATGGACCTGGCTACTGGTCGCTAACTCTGTCACTGAAGCTAATAAAGAGTGTGGGCTAATTAACCACAAGTGAAGCTGGTTACAGGCTGGTGGGTTAGTCAGTGGACTAGTTAAAGTAACTAGTGTTTCCTCTCCAGGCCTTTAACGTCATCAACGGAGGAAGCCACGCTGGAAACAAACTGGCGATGCAGGAGTTCATGATTCTTCCCGTCGGAGCGTCGAACTTCCACGAGGCCATGAGGATCGGAGCTGAGGTGCTGCTCGTTCACATCCAGTGTGTGTGTGTTCACGATCAAACACACCTGTCTAACTGCCCTGTGTGTATGTGTGTGTGTGCGTGCGCTCAGGTTTACCACAACCTGAAGAACGTGATCAAGGCGAAGTACGGCAAAGACGCCACCAACGTGGGAGACGAGGGCGGCTTTGCCCCCAACATCCTGGAGAACAATGAGGGTGAGACATGCACCTGTCTGTCTCTCTGATTCGCAACATGTCGATGTTTTTACAGCACGACCATGTAAATAATATGCGTCACAGTCACACCTGTCCCCCTGCAAACTACAGCAGGTGGGAACCAAACGTGCTCCACACTGAAGAGGTTGTAAATAACCAACTTCAATGTTACACTTACAAATTATATATGAAATAATAAAGTGCTGCAACTGATCATGAAATTATAAATATATATAATATGATAATATGATAATGTTGTCACACACCCTTAAAGCTTGTAACTCAGTGAAAACGACGACAAACTATTGGAACGACTCATTGAATGTCAGTGGACTTCTGCTGCGACCCTTCAAATCAAAGTAAAATTGATTACATCCCCCCCCCTCCCCAGCTCTGGAGCTGCTGAAGACGGCCATCGAGAAGGCCGGATACCCCGACAAGATCATCATCGGCATGGACGTGGCGGCCTCCGAGTTTTACCGCAACGGGAAGTACGACCTGGACTTCAAGTCCCCCGACGACCCGGCCAGACACATCAGCGGAGAGAAGCTGGGAGATCTGTACCGCAGCTTCATCAAGGGTTACCCCGGTAACAACGCACGAGAGGCAGAAGCTCTGTGTGACTCCATCCTGTGGGAGGGGCCTCATTCTGACTTCACTCTCACTTTCTTAAAGAAACACATTCATTCTGACTTTGATCAGTTTTAATTAATTGACTTTCTATGGGATTTCACATGTGGCTCTGAGCCTCTTCTGTGATGCTGTGATGGGAGTGAATGGAGAATCAGTGCATCATAGTACACAACCTAAAGACTGTACATGTCATCATGCTAATGTTATTGATCAGTGACGGAATAGTTTGACATTGGAATGGAACAGCTGCTGATTTATAAACACAAAGGGACCTAATGAGCTTCCATAGACTCCCATGCAATATTAAAAAGTTAGAATGAATCATAAACAATAGACAGCATCATAATGAGGTCATTCAGAGCCCATCAGTGATGTAACACACTGTATAACTCATAATAACTCATTAAGTGTGCATGTCATTCCGATGAGATATTGATCATTGATCTGAATGGAGTTTCTACTGTAGACACCAGCTCGGAGATATGAACAACAGATGTCTCTGGGAACCATTTAAATATTAATAACCAGAATATTATACATGAGACAACATGTGAGTGGTCCAGTGCACGTTGTATTGATCACTGCTGTAACCGGAACATTCACTCTGTCTTCAGTCCAGTCCATTGAGGATCCATTTGACCAGGACGACTGGGAGCACTGGGCCAAGTTCACCGCCTCCACTGACATCCAGGTGAGACGCTCGTGATTACTCCTCTTTTCATTGTAACTACACGGACTTCAAAGTGACTCATCGCTGTGCTTTCAACCAATCAGATCGTAGGAGACGACCTGACTGTGACCAACCCCAAGAGGATCCAGCAGGCCGTGGACAAGAAGGCCTGCAACTGTCTGCTGCTCAAGGTCAACCAGATCGGCTCCGTGACCGAGTCCATCAAGGCGTAAGACACCTGTCTGTCTGTCTGTCTGTCTGTCTGTCTGTCTAACTGTCTGTCTGTCAGTTCAATTTAATTAACACCCCCCCCCTTACCTGTCTTGGATAGTGAGACAAGCTGGCTCAGAGCAGTGGTTGGGGTGTGATGGTCAGCCATCGCTCCGGAGAGACTGAGGACACCTTCATCTCTGACCTGGTGGTCGGACTCTGCACCGGACAGGTAGACAGACACACACACACAGGTGGATAGTGAGACAGGTAGACAGACACACACACACAGGTGGATAGTGAGACAGGTAGACAGACACACACACACAGGTGGATAGTGAGACAGGTAGACAGACACACACACACAGGTGGATAGTGAGACAGGTAGACAGACACACACACACAGGTAGACAGTGAGACAGGTGGACAGACAGACACACAGGTAGACAGGTAAGATGAGGGTCAGGTTGATCACTACATGGATGACAAATGTGTTCTCATAGTGTCTGAGTCACTAATACACCTGTCTCTTTCTCTACCTGTCTCTCTCTCTACCTGTCTCTCTCTCTCTACCTGTCTCTCTCTCTACCTGTCTCTCTCTCTCTACCTGTCTCTCTCTCTCTACCTGTCTCTCTCTCTCTCAGATTAAGACCGGTGCTCCCTGCAGGTCAGAGCGTCTGGCCAAATACAACCAGCTGATGAGGTGAGAACTTCCTGTCATTTACAAAATAAAAGCACAGTTGATTATTTTCCAAAGTAAAAGCACAGACCTTTGGTTTCCAAAGTAAGAGCCCTCATGTGTTTTGACCTCTGACCTCCAGGATCGAGGAGGAGCTCGGAGACAAGGCCAAGTTCGCCGGCAAAGACTTCCGCCACCCAAAGATCCACTAAAGCTCCATCCTGCCTTCCTCTCTGTCGCCGTGACAACCAACTGACATCTGATGACCCCTGAAGCCCCTCCTCCCTGCAGCTGGGGGTGAGAGGTCAGAGGTCACAGTGGGTTTGACCCCGCCTTCCTAGTTATAATTCCATTCATGATGTTTTCTATATAAAACACAAAGATTCAATAAAGAGCGAAGAACAAAGCGTCTGTCTCTCTGTGACGCCGACTCCAACAAACATGTCGTGTCTCTCTCTTTTCTTGGTTTCTTTTCTTTAGTGAAATAAATACAAGGAGGAGAACATTAAAATATAATGAAAAGATTATATAAAAGGCAAATTGACACAACTAACAACAGAATATATAAATAAATATATACCATATTATTCCTCTTTAAAGATTCATTCTAAAGTCTTAGGACTTTTTTATTAATAAGGTTTAATTAATAAGAGTTTTTATATTTTTGTTACTCTCTATTCATCAATATGAAATTGACCATAAAGGATCATCAACTTAACAATGAATTTAATGTCATAATTATAATTTTCATAATATGTAATGATATCTTTATATCCCATAGATTATACACTGTGTGCACAGTTACCAGGCATGTTGTATTTCTGAGGATTGATTTTATTGTTGAACACATACAGCGCTCTCGGTCAATCCAAAATGTTAATAAACCTCCAATCTGAATATTTAAGGAGAAAATCCATTTGTGCAGAATTATCATGCAACTAAATGAAAAACAAAACTTTCCCATCTCACTTGTTTAATTTCAACCGTTAAAGTGAGAATAACAAACAAACAACTCAAAATTTTACAGTCACAAGCTTTCCATCCACGGAGTCTGTCACTTTATTGATCTGTTGACCATCAGTTGTTTGTGCAGCAGCAACCAGCCTCCAGACGCAGTTCAGAGAGGTGCATCGTCTTCCCTCACTGTCAATCTCCCGTTTAAGAAGGGACAACAAGTTCTCAATAGGGTTTAGGTCAGGGGAGGAAGGGGCCATGTCATTATTCTTTCATCTTTAAGGCCTTTGCCTGGTGGCCACGCAGTGCAGTATTTGGATGCATGCGATGGAGCATTGTCCTGCATAAAAATCATGGCCTTCTTGAAAGATGCAGACTTTTTCCTGTACCACTGCTTGAAGAAAGTGTCTTCTCAAAAGTGGCAGTAGGTTTGGGAGTTGATTTTAAGTCCTTCTTCAACCCCAAAAGGTCCAACTAGCTCATCCTTAATGATACCAGCCCATACCAGTACCCACCTCCACCTCGCTGGCGTCTGATTGGAAGTGGAGCTCAGTGCCTGTTACTGATCCAGCCACGGGCACATCCATCTGGTCCGTCAAGAGTCACTCTCATCTCATCAGTCCATAAAACCTTTGAAAAATCTGTCTTCAGATATTTCTTGGTCCAGTCTTGATGTTTCAACTTATGTGTCTTGTTTGATGGTGGTCGGATTTCAGCCTTCCTTACCTCGGCCATGTCTCTGAGCTCTGAACACCTTGTACTTCTGGACACTCTCGGTAGGTTGCAGTCCTGGAATATGACGGCACTGGAGGATGATTGGTTCCTGGAAGCTTCACATTTGATTCTTCTCAAATCTTTAGCAGTTCATTTGCGTCTTTTTTTCTCAACACGTTTCTTGCGACCTGATTGACTATTTGCAACAAAACATTTGATGGTTCAGTGATCACGCCCCAATATGTGTGTATATCAATTTCAAGAGTGCTGCATCCCTCTGAAAGGTTTCTTATGAGTTTTGACCTTTCAGAGTCCGTTAAATCTCTTTTTCGTCTGAGGAAAAGAACCTGCCTTATAATTATGCACACCTTGATATAGGGTGGATCTCTTTAGGCCACACCCTCCCTCATTACACAAATATACATCACCTGATATGCTTAAATCCAATAAGCATTCAAGTTTACACAGCTTGGAGTTGGAAAATATGCATAAAAATGATGATATAGTCCAAATACTCACTTGCCTAATAATGAGCACACAGTGTATAATGAGTCGAGGTGACTGAGTGTTTACATTGAGAGAATAAATGCATCAAGGATTCTGGTTCATTATTACAAAAGCTGTTTTTGTTTTTGGAGAAATCGATTTGTTGGATGTATATTGTGTAAAATTTTAACATATGTTTCTTTAATTTTAGTGGTGACAAAATGTATTTATTGTGGAGGGACATTGGAGATAATGACATCATCAGGAAGTGATGTCACACTGAATCAGATCAACGTGTGGTTCATGTCGTCAGATTAAAGTTGCAGAGACACAGACTGCAGCAGTGACTGTGTCACACAGTAAAACAGATGAATGTTTGAGAATAAGAAGAGAAATATGATCATAACAAAAACTTTATGACACAACAGAGAAAACTGTCCCACAGAGACAGAGAGAATTCACCCTTTAAACTGTAGGAACACCTGATGACTGCACAGAGCAGGAAACAAACACACACACGGGCAGCGTGTGTGTGTGTGTGTGTGTGTGTGTGTGTGTGTGTCTGCTGGTGAGGAAATAATAATGTCATAAATATATAATGTAACAGAAAGTTAGAGGGAACTTTAGAAACTGGACGTGGATTTAATCTGAACTTCTTTGTGAATGAAAACAAACAAACATCTGAAGCAGCGATTTCTCACACTCAACTCCATTACTCACACACACACACACACACACACACACACACACACACACACACGCATGCTGGTGACGTCAATGCTGACAGGTTGAGGAGTCTGGGCTGAACGCAGCCTGTTGCCTGGTGATGAGCAGCAGCCGTGAGAAGTGACGCTCTGAAAAAACAACCTGTTTGAATTTAACCTAAAATTAATAACTTGACTGTTGAACTAAACTAAACTAAACTAAACTAAACTAAACTAAACTAAACTAAACTAAACTAAACTAAGCTGAGCTGAGCTGAGCTGAGCTGAGCTGAGCTGAGCTGAGCTGAGCTGAACTGTATACATGTGTCCACATCTTGAGACTCTTAATGTAAGCCATTGCCTTCTCCGGTAAGGAACTCCTTGTTGTCCCCGTTGTCAGAGACGTGGCGTCGGGCTGGGAGTATCACGCTGTATGGGACATCCGGCCTCGGAGTAGGTTCCTGACATCGGTGAATGCAGCTCCGGCTTTGGCCAGACTTGCGGTGTAGTCTGGAAAGATGGCGGTGATCGGTTCACCCTTGTTCCCGGGCTCGGCGCACTACATCAACACAGTCCTGGCCGTAGTGAAGTTCAGCGATGATAACACGAGGTCCTCCATTAGCCTTTCTCTGTGTGCGAGCTTCAATCAGGAGTTCCTACTCCACATGCAATGTTTCCTGCAGAGGCCGCCGTGCTGGAGCACGAGCCGGGTTCCTCTGCAGCGCCCACGATATAAATATTGCATCTCTGCATCCTACTTTCAATATCCTCATTTTTCTCCCTCAAACTGGCCACGTCTGTCTTAAGTTCAGCCACTGTCGTCTGTAGCGCCGTGACCTCACTCGACCACGCTGACGGGCCTTCCTCCATGTCGCTAAAGGCGGCATTTATATTATTGATGTCAGAATGAAGAGCCGCTGTGTTGTTTACGACTTCAGACTTTACCTCCTTCAGTTCACTTTTCAGGAAGTTAAAGTCTTCTGAGTGCATTCTTTAGCTCGGCCCTGACAGCCGCAGACATGTCCGCTCTCAGGTCGTCGGCATCCATCCCTGACTGTGACTGGACGCCGCGCTCTGTAGAAACGTAGTACCGTCGTATTTGTATTTACGGAGCTTAGTCGCCATTGAAACAACGTGGAAACAGCTCCACAGACTCTCGCCTACGTTAAAGGATTTACTGACAGTAAATACGCAGAAAGGGCCCCGAAAAAATCGCCTCACCCTACTCCGTTACTGGCTCACCAGCACCCCCAACTAAACTAAACTAAACTACACTAAACTAAACTAAACTAAACTACACTAAACTAAACTAAACTAAACTAAACTAAACTAAACTAAACTAAACTAAACTAAACTAAACTAAACTAACCTAAACTAAACTAAACTAAACTAAACTAAACTACACTAAACTAAACTAAACTAACCTAAACTAAACTAACCTAAACTAAACTAAACTAAACTAAACTACACTAAACTAAACTACACTAAACTAAACTAAACTAAACTCAGAATATTCTCCAGGACAGTTGGAGCCTCTGGATTGACACATGGTGTCTTCTCAAGGACTCCAGGAAGATATTCAAGCACCTCCAGGACCTCCTCAAGGTGTCCTGGAGCCGTCTGGTTTAACCTGGTTTTTGAGGAAGTTGTTGGCAGAGTGTGCGTCGCTGTGGGGGGGCAGGAATGTTGTGTGCGTCACCACACACACACACACGCTCACACACACACACACACACACTCTCACACACTCACACACACACTCTCACACACTCACACACACACACACACACACACACACACACACACACACACACACACACACACACACACACACACACACACACACACACACACACACACTCACACACACTCACACACACACACACACACACACACTCACACACACACACTCACACAGGGATAATAACCTGTGTGATCAGTGACCTCTTTCTCTCTAATAAGGTGATTGATGAGCTATTATCCGTGTGTGTGTGTGTGTGTGTGTGTGTGTGTGTGT